GCCGGGGGCCAGAGCCCTCCGCTCTCCCCCGGGGGAACGGCAGGACAAAGGCGGCAGCCGGGAGCCTCCCTCGGGCCTGGCCTCCCTCCGCCGCGCCGCAGAGGAGCCCTTGCGCTGCCCGCAGCCGCCCTTCCAAACTTCCCCTCGGCCGGGCCCGGCCTGCGAGCTGCGTCCCGGTCAGCAAAGGGCTGGTTTCCCTTCTGAGGGCTCTGCGGAGGTCTGGGGGCTTCTCCCCACTGATGGCCTGACGGGGGGCTGCCTCTTCCGAGACCTATGCCGTAGTGCCCCGCGTCAGTGCTGTATTCTGAAGCCTAGCGACATTTAAATTACCAGACTGTAGACTTGGGACGTTAGCACCGAAAACAGCAAACAAAACAAAAAAACCCCGATTGGCTGCGTAGCTTTCGCTGCAGGTTTTGGCACAGAACGTGCACACCGTAACTGGTCGCCTTTTCTGAAGCTGTGGTGGGCACGTACCAGTCTTCTGTTCCCATGCTGTCTCCAGCCGCTTATTTACTGAGCGTGTTCTTAATCTGCACAGCCTTAAAAATACGAGAGGCAGGACAACCGCTGTGAACATAACGTGTTGCTGCGAATAGCACATATTGCACGAGGCATGTTTAAATGTGTAGGTTTTGCTCTAAAATCATTTTTATTTGCTCCCGGGCCTTCACCACTGCCCAGTGCCTCGTGAGAAGGCTGATGAGCAGGCTCGTGTGTGCCGCTGTTCTGGGACTGCAGCTGAGCGCAGGCTGCAAGTTACTCAGTGAAATAATGTCAGCTTTCGTCCTGAACGGGCCCGCTCGTCGCAGAGCTTGCTCCCAGTCGCGGACTGCTTAGGTTTTGATCCTTCTGAGTTGTAATCAGATTTGAAAGGATTGGATTTTAATCAGACGTGTTAATTTTCTTTTTTCTCCACCCCCAAAAGTGCTCAAACGGAAAGGTGAAAGCATCGAATAAACGGCGGTTTTCGTCAGCTGCCTGTAGCTGCGTGAAGGAAGTCCTGCTTTGAAAGCTGTTGTGAGATGCACGTCTTAATAGGAAGTTATGAACTTAACCGCTCTTCTAGACAGAGATTTTAAGTAAAGAAACGGTAATACTTAGGAAGGCTGCAGGCCTTGCGGTCGTGTTGATGGGACTAAGTAGGGCCTTGCAAGCATTATTGGTTGTAATTAGTACTTGGGGCTATTTTGGATGAAGGAAAGTTCTGCTCTTGAGATCCTTCTGTCCTACAGGACGTAGCTCAGTGGGACTGCGCTAAGAGAAATGATAGGTGTTAGTGAAACTGCCAGATTATTTTACACAGGCAAAGAGTTTGTAATTTTGTTGAGTTTCGGCACTTTTAAAATACCTGTGCGTGCTTTCTTACTAATTCTGGGATTAGCTGTTTCAGTGACAGATACATTTATGGTCAAAAAGAATAAATTAGCAAGTAAAATTTTGTCAGGAAGTAGCTGAAGCAGAACACGTGTGTTTGTGAAACTCGGTTAAAACTTATTATATGCGCTATAACTTGTGAAGAGTCATTATTCCGGTTCCCGCTGCGGAACTGAGGGATGCTGCCGCTTCCGATGCGCCGTGTCTGTCGGCGTCGTTCACTCGCCGGGGCGCAGTGCGCGCCGTCGTACCCTTCGTGGGGACAGGAGGGTCTGCGGGAAGAAACGGGCCGGTGCTGTGTGTTCTCATCGGGCTCGTGCGGGAGAACGGCTTTAATTGCAGCTGGGGATGGGCTGCAGCGGCCTCCTAACGCTGCAGTCTGTAAACGTGCAGCTCTATGGAAGTGTTCGTTTTTGAGGGTGGTACAACTAGGTATGAGGACGGTGATGTCAGCAGGCTCAAACTGACGGCGTAATTTCAGTAACTACCAGCCCGTGAACTGAAGAAGCGGTTCTATAGGAGGCAGCGTGCGTAGGGCCTCGCGAGCGGGCTGGTGGTGCAAGCTGAACGCAGGGAAGCCAGCGCTCACCTAGCGTTGCTTCATGCAACGGTCTCGCTTCTGACAGCCGTCCTGTACGACATTGCGTCTAGGTTTTTGGGTTAGGTGGCGATTAGTTAACTCCTGCGTTTGCTCGGTGTGTTCAGACAGGTCCGCGGAGGAGTCAAAGGCCAGGGTAGTCCTGGCTTTTGGCATTCTATAGTGTGCGTATAAATAGAAGCCGTGTATTTACATACAGCTGCTGTAGCTGACCTTAGGCAACCCTGCTTTTTTGTTTGTTTAAATGTATGTAGGGTGACTACAAATAATTAATAATGGAATTGGAAGGTCTCGATGACCACTGGCTGCGGGGAGTCCTCCTTCCCTGCAGACAGCTTGATGTTCTGTCAGAACGCAGCTGGTGTTTTTAGATTGATCTTATATACCAAGCTATTAAACTTAGTTTAAAAAAAAAAAATCCCAAAACACAGTTGGTCGAACTAACACACAGTCACAGGCCATCAAAACTTTAATCTGAATATAGCATTAGATTGGTCATTTTTTTCTTTGCTATTAGGAAATAAAGTTATTTCCTCATAGGACTTTCCCTAACAATAATGGCAGAAGAAAGAGCAGGCAGATTTGTGCCTGTGGCCTGTATGTGGAGAGGAGCCGTAGTAAAGGGACAGCCGGGGAAGCTACCACAAAGTCTGCGCGTGGTGACGACCGTCGGGTGAAGTTTGGCTGTTACCAGAAAATGACCTGTTGCCGAAAACTGGCTGGTGTTGAATAAGCTCTTTGAACTGGTGCCACCAGCAAGCGCCTTGCCAGTAGAGGGAGGTGGGGGGAGTTTTCCGATCCTTGAGAAAAACTTCGTCATCCTGAACCATGCGAGGAGGAAACAGGCCCGCTTTCGGAGGGTGAAACGTCCCGCTTGTGCTGTTCTCGGATGCAGGGTGGTAATGCAGGAGCAGATGCAGCCACTGTCTTCTGCAACACTGGGAAGACTGTGCTTTCTTTGCATGTTACCAGTTCAGTTATTTTCTGGCCTGCTGAAGAAGATGCTTTGATCTGTGCTTAACAGGTGGTCTTTTTTTATTTTTTTTGAAAGATAAAAAAACTTACGTCATCTCTCAACTAGTGACTGAGAAATAAAATTTGCCTCAGTGGAACTTGGATGTACCACGTAATACTGAATTCAGTCACCCCCTATTTTCGTGTGTGGTATACGTGCGCTCTTAAGGCGTTGGTTTAGTCACTGTTGCATAAGGGTCACGATATGATGCCGTATCGTGGAGAAATGAATCAAAGTGAAAAAGGACTGCTGCTTTCTTCTGCAAGCTGCCCTGCTGCGCGGGGCCTTCTAGGTGCAAGGCTTTCGCTTCGCTGATGCTCCCTGTGCACCAGCAGCTCTCTGACTGCGGGGTGGCCGATTTCTTTCTGCAGGTAGCCGCTCCTGAAAAAAGCAGGTGAGAGGAAGTTTAATTTTTTTTTTTTTTGTTAGGAGAACCTCAGCTGTCTCCGTTTAAGTGAAGGTGCACTAATGCTCAGCTCAGCTGCAGCTATACTGGGGTATATCTGAGGGCGAGTAGAAGACAAGGCAGGCTATGGTTCCTCTCTTTGAGGACTGATAAGAGAAATGGAGGGCATCCTCCAAAGATAAACTATCCCAGCACTTGTCTGTGCAGACCCGTGGAACCTATTAACGAGAGCTTTTGAGTTGGTGCTTCTTACTGAAAAGGGTCAAGTGTTGAGGTGGCTTTGAACTAACCTTTAATTATGGAGTAAATTACTTTGCATGGAAGTTTTGTCACACCCTGAAGTTGATAAAGAGTTGCAAAGCAGACAGCCCGGCATCTTCCCGCTCCTCTGCGCGCTTACCCAAGTACTTTGGCGTGCTCGGACATGAAACGGTGCAGATTTGGATGCTCTTTTGAGAAGACGGGGTTGCGTCAGATTTGACTTAAGTTTTAAGCGTGGAGTTTAGTTTGGGTTTTAGCCATGGCTTTCTCATCTATTTGGAGATATCTCCAAACTAGATTGTGAAATGGTTTCACAACTACTTGCTGAATTCGTGCTACTCTGTTATTTAGTACTTGCCTCACAAGTTTGCCTTCTATCTTAGACTTGCACTTGGTAGTTCTACTTTTGCTTTCATTTAACTAGAAGATAAGGGTAGACAAAAGTGATTCTGACTGGTCTTTCTAGGTGAGCAAGGGAGTAACACATAAAAGGAATGGATGAAGGGTTTTTGTTAGTTCTAATCAGCAGTTTAGGGACTTTTCTTTCTCGGGACAGTACTTTGAGAACGCAGGGGCAAGGAAGCCTGAGGGCTGACTTAAGCTTTTTTGATCTGAGAATGAAAAAACTCACATGCTTTCTGTTTTACCCAACTATGCAGCTAGAGAACAAGTCTAGAAATTGCAGGTGATGCCCGAATCCAGTCGCTGCATCTAGTTCAGCATTCCTTCCTGTGGAGTGCTGCTTTTAGCTGTGGTTCCCGATGGCTTTGGCCTTCTGGCACGTGAAAGTTGGCCGCATCATCTCAGGGCAGATGCACTTACATTGCTTATTATTTGTAAGTTGGTATTAAATAACTCCAGCCGCTGGCCGTGTTATTTTTCATGTGGCAGTACCCGAAATGTAGGAGATGGTAACATCAAACGTGTAAACTTCAGAGTCTGGTGTTATTTTCGCTACAGTGCCTGTTACGAGGGACTGCAGCAGCTATGTTGCCAGTGTATTTTTGTGGAATAATTTTTTTAACCTATGTCGGTCGTCAGTTGTCTTTCTGGCAACATTCAGCGTTAGGTAGCAAATGGACGTAGGAGAGCCCTTCAACCTGGTTTTGGAGGCCTAACGCAAGACTGGGCACAACTCTTGATCCTTAGGCTGGGATTAAAGCAGTTAACAGAATGGACTCTGGTGCTTAACCGAGGATGTCTGGTTTCCTGTCAGTTTGCTTTATCTCAGAAGTTTTGGATTTTGTTTTCACCCTTAAATTGGAACTGCATGGACCCTGCAGCTGTTTTCTTCTGTTGCTCAGAGAAGTTGTGTAAGTAACTTGGAGCCAATGATTCAGGCCTTGACAGGAATCCAAATGTCCCGTTTTGATGGGGGGGTGGGGTGTAACCAGGTAGAATGACTTTATCATGGTGTTCTTGGATCACTCTTCAAATAATTTCAGTGATGCTTTGTACATATTTTTCTGAACTATGAAGTGTTCCATGCTGGAGCTCCTTTCTGCCCCAAAAGAGCAGGTAAAGGTACTTTGTGTAATGTTTATGTTGGGTTTTTTTTTTTTTCCTTCTGGCTATCGTAATGATTTCTCAAAGCAACACTGCCTTCTCAACTGCCTGGAAATAAGAAGTTTGGAGGAACTTAGGCTTTCCTGGTATTTTTGTCATCTTTTTGCATAAAAGAGTAAAATGTACTCCTGTAGTAAGCTTACAATCTCTGTTCATTCTTGTGGCTCCCAAAACAGATGCTTCAGTTTTATGTGTACCTTCATGAAACAGAAGGTAGTTGTCACAAAGAATAGTGAACTCTAGTGAAGAACGGGCTTTGTAGTGTGTTTTG